TTTTTTTTTTTTTTTTTTTTAACATATTCCATTATTAGTCGTAAAAAAAAAATAAGTTGATTTAACTCTTACTTGATCATCATCAGTTTCACAAGTTTTAATATTTTTGGAATTGATAATATATTAAAATGTTAGTAGTGATTTTACATTTATTATTATAAGATATTGCAGCTTTTTATTGAGTTTTTTAACTGTCTAAATAAGATGATAAAGTTTAGCAAAATCTAGCATTAATAATATAATAGTTAACTTTAAAGTTTTAGTATATGATATTTTTATATTTATTTAAAAAGTTATTTTAAAAATTTAACTGTAATATATAACTGTACAAATATATATATATATATATTTGCACATATTATATATATATAATGCTTAATTGAAAATGTAACTGGTGATAAATTTTTATTTGCTTTTTTCTTAAAATTATTTTTTACAAAATTAGAAAATGTTAGAAAAAAATTTTAATTAAGATAAAAGTAATTATAAAATATATAAATTGGATAAATGTAAAAGTTAATTTTTATTTATATTTTCACATAAAGTCACAAATACAGGATGGTTCAGTTAGTGTTTAGTAAGCAATTTTTGAAGTGTAAATATAGTTTTAATTAGATGTGGAAGTCACTCTCCTCCTATTCTTAAATTAATTTCTATATAATTTAATTTCAATGGTTTCTTCTGACTTCTTATGGAGATTTTGAATACAGTATTTATATATTTCAGAATTGGCAAATGCTGGTAGACCACTATTTCCTGGAAGTGATGTTGATGATCAATTAAAAAGAATATTCAAATATCCTTTAACTAAATATTAGTATAACTAATAAATATTTTAATTTAGATATTTTTACTTTTAAATGTAATGTTAATTGTTAAGATGAAATATTTTATAATTGATAAAGTTTTAAAACTAGATTAATTGAATTGTTTATAACTTGATCTGTCTAGTATGAATGTGAAATAATTTATACTCTTTCATTAATAGGTAATGTTTATATCAATTAACATGAATTTAGTATTTCCATTGTAAAGAATTAATATTATTTTGTCTAAGTTACAATATTTTACTACAGAATATTTTCTTTTAATCATAAATTAATGAAACAATAATGAATATGTTCGTTTCTTAAAATTTTATTTTAAAAAATTATGTATATAAATATCTGTTGAATTTACAAGTTCTTAAATTTATCATTCATTGAATGGATTTTAAAAATAACAAGTACAAATTAGTGATGTGCCGGATCGTTAAAAATGTATATCTACGGATACGGATNTATACAGTACCTAATTTATATATAATTAATATATAATTATATGTACAGTACCTAATTTATATATAATACTGTATAGACGATAGTAATCTTTCCGGCGCTACGGACGGCGGGAAAGTAGTTCGGCTGCCCGATGACGTTTTACGTAATTATAGGAGTTTTTTACCGGTTTTTACGGATACCATCGCAATTTTTTCGCAGCTTTATAGGAATTGTAATTATAGGGGGTCTACTGTATATGAACCCGCGTTATAGGGGGGTCGACTGTATTTAAATTTTTATTCATATGTTAAAACAGAATTTCGTGAATATTATATACCATATTTATTTGAATATAAGACGACCTCACATATAGGACGAGGTGTGACTTTAAAGATCAAAATAAAGAAATATTAGATTTATTAATACAATTCTAGTTTTATTTCGTTTAATCACAAGTAAAATATCAAATGAAGATAAATGCACACATTGTCCCACAAAAATTACTAACATTTTAAAAACTAAGGAAACATCTTGTAAAATTGACAACATAATTTGTTCACGTAAAGCTGGACAATCGTGAACTCTTTTTTCTGCCAATTCTTAATAGTTGAATCCATTCTCCGTCGATTACACTTATGAGTTTATCCAAATTCTGATTTCCGAATAATCATCTGTTTTCACATGGGAATGGATTAAAACTTATATCGTGCTCCTGTGTGAGTTGGAATTTCAATCTGGAATTCAATTCAAAAGCTTTGCTTTTCCTATTGCTATTCATCTTTACTCCTGACAATATATAAGAGTAATTCAAACAACCTAGATAAAATACTTATGTTTTTAAATACAAGAGAGTGAACATCCAGTAAAAAATTCAAATACATGGCTCACAAAAATTATTTGCAAAAATGCAAAGAATCTTTTGCTTGCACATATAGGACGACCTAAGAATTTGAAGCTGTGATAAATTAATAAAAACATTGTCTTATATGCGAGTAAATACTGTATTCATTTTAGAAAATTGTTATTTGACTTTGGAATCACTTATGTATTTCCAGAAATTTAATGAAAATTATTCAAGTTGGCAATTATTACTTGTTGTATTACTTACTTTTTATTCATTAACTGTAGTCTTTTATGTTGTTTAAACTGCCTTCTAATTGATACTTAATAATAATTACTAAATTAAGCTGCTTTCCAAATTCAAAAAATTTTATAATTAAACAGTTTGAACATTTTTAATACTTATTCAAATCACTTAACTAACAGGATGATTATTAAATATAATAAAACTTATCCAAAACAGACTTGAATGAAATGGAAAAAATTTTTTGAAATAAAAAAATTTTCTATGCTAAATTTTACTATAACCTGTCCATTATGGAAATGGGTATGAAGAATATGACATTACATGGATAAAGTGGAATATAAGATTCCACTTGTAGACAAATAAATAAAATCATACCTCCAAGGTATAACAGTCACCATATGACAAATTATGTTCTGAGAACAATTTCAAACATTGTCAGAAATGAAGATTACATGGCAAGGAGACATATGGTCATTAGGTTTTTGTTAATATTAGTTTTTTCTGAAATTAACCTGGGGGTGAAATCAAATATTACTGAGAAGGGAATGACTTTCCAAGAATTAAGTTCTCAAGAACAAGTATTGAATGTGATTCTTAAAAATAATGAAAACAGGGTAACTCAATGCTGCCAATTTGTCTTTTATGGATTAATTGGTAACTAACTAGTACCAAATATTCAAACAAGTTGATTAACATATTGGTAATTACAGAGATTTAAGTAAACAATTAATTAAACTATTAAAATTCCTCAAGAAGCCAATCACAGAATAACTTGTATTACTATAATGATGAATTTGTGATGGCAAAGTAAGATGCTAGTTTTTGGTACTTGAATTGGCTTGTTCACTGTTGTGTGAGCTCAAGGATTACATCCAAGAAGTATTTGAATACTCAGAACAAATTCTTGGTAACAATGAAAACTTTTTAGTTGAATAGTTCTTGATTCTTGCATTAGAATATGCCTCAAAGTTGAAATCACTTTGGATTAATTTGAATTAAACTTAGTAAGAAAATGTTCTTACATATGTAAAAGTGATTTTACTATTAAAAAAATGAGTAGTTATTTATTGTGATATCATCACAATGCTGGGCTGCAATTTTTTAAAATCTTTTAATTTAAAAAAAGTTATTTGACTTCCAGTCAAGCTGGAAGTTAGTATGAAGTTAATTGGGATCTCTGGCCCCTAAGCCTTCCATACCTTATTTTGATTTAATAGTTTTGCCCTGTACATCATACTTCTCCTGATAACAACTGAGTCTTGCTTGTCACCTATCTAACTCATTCTCAAGAAAATTTTGAATTGAAATCATGTGACTTCTGGTCTGGACCAGAAGTTCGTATGGTTGATTGGAGTCTCAAGTTCTTACACTTTTGATATTTGATCTCAATTTTTATCAATTTAACTTTATTCTCTAGATTAATGAAAGACAGACAGGTGGATGTACAACAGTGGGAATGTACAGATCTGCAATTTGAAAATTGGAGCCCAGTGAATGTAAACATATGACATTTATCTGATGTAGTTTACAGCTTAAAAAAAACACTGAAACCTGATAAAAATGGATACCTGCTAAACCATAAAAAATATTTGGTACCATGCAATTCTAGTTTGCACAGGTTTTACTGTACTTTATTTTGAAATTATTTTAAAAAGTTAATATAATTATAACTCTTTCAGATTTGTGATTTGAAGATGTGTATTGAAAATATTTTTATTTTACTAAGAAATTTTCTGGGCTTTAAGCAATGTTTATTTACTAGAAAGAAAAGCATTAATTAATATTCTATTCATTTTCCTTTAATATATTTTTTTAAATTTTTAAAGTGAAAACAATTAATTTTATTTAAATGTAATATTTTTTTCAATTTAGACTACATGATGTTTTACATAGTGAAAAGAAATTAACATTAGTGTTTGAACATTGTGATCAAGACCTTAAAAAGTACTTTGATAGCTTGAATGGAGAAATTGATCCTGATGTTGTTAAAGTAAGTTTTTAACAAGAAAAATATTTTTATAGATTACATCTTTTTTTACTAATTTTTAAAATTAAAGTGTTTGTTTACTTTATATAGAGGATTTATTTGAAATATTTTGTTGTTTTTACATCACATTTTATTGTTTATTTCATTAATGTCTTTATAAACTTATTCTTTTTGTATTAAAAACACAATTATTTATTATTATTTTCTAATAGTTCTAAAAATTAAATCATAAATTCTGAAAATCATGAAAATTTGTAACAAAATAAATTTTTTAAAACATCAAATTTTATTAAACTAACATAAACAAACAACAACAACTTTTGAAGAAAATTTAGACATTTAATATATAAGCACTATTATCTTTTCTTTTTTCATAATGTGTGTTATTACTGTAGTTAATGGTCTTTGGATTATTTTTTCTGTTAACAATAAATTGGTTATGGCCCTTAAGATATACATCATACAAGATATGCAACTTTAAACGATTAATGATGTATGCATCAACATATCTCATTTTATATCTTAAAAATTTTTTATTATAGATGGCATTTTATCTCATACAATTTTATTTTTGTTACTGAAAAAATTTCCTGTTATGTACAATTTAGTATCCTTGTTTTTGTTTTTTTTCCCTTCTTGTTTTGAAATTAAGTTACAGATTGTTTCATTACTTGGATTTACTAGCTTGAGAATTTTGTTTTTTATTTCAATGTTGTTGTTATAACGTATAACAAATTTGTAAGTTTAGTTTTGAATAAACTGAGATGCATTTAAGTTCTAAGTTAATATCTTCTATTTTATTTCTCAAGAATGGTTAATGATAGTAAAAAAATAATTGCTGCTGTAACAAATCAATTACAGCAGTGTAATGTAGCACTACTAGTTTATATGTATGTTTTGGATGTGATGGCATTCACACTCTAAGAACAGCATATAATCATCAAGTTTCTTCTTTTTGTGGTCTAAGACCCATTCAGATTCATCAGCAGATGAGAGAGACATGTGGAAATAGCATTATGGATGTGAAAAATTATGTTTATGAGTAAGAAAGTTATAAGAAGGACATTTTTTATGTGAAAATATTTTGAAACAGCCAGTCGAAGGATAGAGCTGCCCAAGTGGAAATAGTGGTTAAAGTGATTGGTTATAACCATTTGAATACTTTGCAGATAAGGTTAACTTCTCTTTGGATTTTGCTAACACCATTCTATGTGCTGATTTGAAAATGGCAATGGTATCATCTTGGTGGGTTATCTTGACAGTTGATTCCAGAGTTGGAGATAATCATGTGACTGTTTGTCAAGCACTGCAATGAATGGTGAATTTCTTCCATCATTGTGACCATGGATGAAATGTTTATCCCATTCTTCAATCCATAGACGAAGTGACAATCATCCCAATGAAAACAGTAGCTCTTTCCCATCAAAAAATTTTGTATGCTGGTCTGTACTGAAAAAGTGTTGATTTCTGTTTATTAAAATTATGATGAGATTATTCTTATGTTGTTTTGAAGGGTATGACAATTAACAGAGAAGACATGCAAAAATGTCCTAGAGGAAAAATTTCTACTTTATATGCATCAAAAAATCCCCAAAAAGCAAAAAGCCTTGCTTTCATCAGGACAATGCAGCAGCCCATTGTTCCTACTTGTTGCAGAACTTATTCAAAAAAAATAAAATTGAAGTAATTTCTCATGCTGCCTATTCTCCTGACTATTCTCTGAGTGATTTTTGGCTATTTCTAAATCTGAAGGATACCATTTGTGGACAAACATTTTTATCTTGTGGCTGCAACAGCATCCATTGTCTTTCAGTATGCATACTTCCAAAGAATCCTTTGTAGCAGCATTCCAGAGTGAAAAACCTGTGATGTTGCAAAGGGACTACATTGAAAAATGATACATGTTTCTTTATGTTTACCATTTTTTGAGAAATAAAATAGGAGACTTTAGAACTTGAGTGTACTTTGTATATATTCAAAACATTGCGACCATAGGAATTAATATTATAGATAGAAGCTCAAATCATAGTTATTCTTTAGTAAGTTTTTTTTTAACTTGCATTAGTTATGAAAAGTGACTAGTGTAGACTAGGAACTTTATATAATTAGTTTTAAAGTTATTTTTTCTTATTCAATTACTACAATTTTTTTATCATAAAATTTTGATAATACTTTCATAATTAAAGCAGAGTAAAGTCATATACTATATTTTGATTGATTGTTTATAATGCATAATTCAATTAATTTGCTGCTATGAAACTATTACTTGATAACAAAAATGATAGATTGAAAATTCTATAAAATTGTCAAATATTACTAAATTAAAATGATAAACTTTAATGCTTTAATTTATTTTAAACAAAAATGAGAGTAAAAAATCTGCAATGCAATAGAATAACTAATCAAAGCATAAATAAATAATTACACATTAGAGTTCAATTATATCAGAAAATCCATATAATAGATTAAAAAATTAAAGTTTTTTGATGTGTATTTTATATTACAAATTAGTTGTCTGTACAATTGCATGTGATTTTCTGTGTTTAAAACTAAAAAATGGAAAAATAAATTTTAATTTCTTTATATTTAATGCAATATACTTTATATAAATATGTAGTAAATAATTTTATTGAAGGGTTATCACACAATTGAAATTTTTACTGCCTTATATGCAACCTAAAATGCATTTTGTCCCCTGGTGTTAAATGAACTTTATCAGTTAGGTAATCATATATAATATACAAGGGTGATTCAAAAAGTAAGGTAACAAGAGCTCTCATGGATGTCATATTCCTCCTCTTGTTCGAATTTCCCATTAGGGCAGCAGCAGAAGATCACGGCTTTATCACACAGGCATTAGATGGTGCAAATGTTGCATCAGACTCTTGCAATATCATTTTGAAAATGGCTGTGCTTATGGAAACATGGTCAAACATGGAAGTGCATAATGTGATTTGGTCTGAAGGGCAACTCACCAGTAGAAATTCATCGTCAACTTGTTTTGAGGAGTATGGTGGTAATGTCATGTCACATAAACAGATGTAGGTTTGGTGCACTGAGTTCAATAAAGGCAGGACAGACAAACTGAGCAAACTGAATTGTTATGGTGCTTCAAGTGGGAGGTACTGGAACATCCTCCCTATAGCGCTAACCTGGCACCCTGTGATTTCCATCTCTTCGGACCATTGAAGAAGCATTTGGGTAGTAGGCGATTCCAAACTGATATGGAAGTTCAGCAAGCTGTCATGGTATGGTTGAAGGGACTTGATGCAGATTTCTTCTCTGCTGGCATTAATGCCTATCGTTGGAATAAATGTTTGGACTAGCATAGTGGCTATGTTGAAAAATAATATGTACCAGTGTCATAATAATCTGTATCACTATATCTGCCTGTGAAATAAAATTTGTACAGGAGAGTTATTGTTACCTTACTTTTTGAATCACCCTCGTATAAGGCAGAGATTACTTAATAATGTTACAACACTCACACAAATCTCTATAAATTTCACAATATCATTAAAATAATAATAAAATGCTAAAAACCAATAGGTAATTTTGGTGAAGAATGCAAAAAATCTGATCTGTCCTTGCTGGCATGATGATGATGAAATTTAGATACAGAATGAAGCAACGTGAAGTGTAAGCTAATATAATGTTTGATACAAGTTTTGGTTTATTAGCTTCTTGTTGCTTCAAATGCTACATTACAATAGTTTGCATACATTAGATTTTAACATTTTAACATGCTCTTGTTTCCTTTTTTTCCTTAGTGTGTGAACTGAGGCAACATTTTTTATGAACACAGGAAAATGTAAGTTTAAGACGGACTTGTTAAAGAAGGATGGAAATGGAGATGTTATTTAGCTGTGGTGTCTCCAGAAATCACAAAAAGAAACATTTTGCAAAGTGTACCAATCTGTCATCAAGGGTTGTCAGTCTCTAACATACCTTTTTGAAATATGGAAGCATAAACAAAAGTTCAAGGATTTCTTTCATCTGTGTCAAATACATTTAACTTAAACTGCATCAACATCTTGTGACATTGTTGAATTGCAGACTACATCAGATAAATTTGAAAAAATGAAGACCATACAATAGTATTCAGGAAAGGATAAATCTACAATTACAGAGCTAATCTCTATTATAATGACAAAGACTGTTTTCAGATTTATATTCAATTTTGGTTAGACATGAAAGACGCTGTTGTTTCAAGGTACTTGAAGATGGTCATCGCTGAGTTTATCTCACAGAAATGCTGACATAGAATGGCATTCTTTGTTTTATTGAATACATTGTAGAATTACAGATCTTTTATGTTGGAGAAGATATTAAATGCTACATTTTTGTTAAAGATTCATTAAAAATATATAATTGTCTGTATTTGGTTCCAGTTACTAGGAAGTTGGTTAACAAACATTATATAATGTTATTGCTTATAAAAATTGCAATTACTTGGAAGAGTGAGAGAAAAAAAAACAGCTGCAGCAACAAGAAGAGCAAGAAAGAATAATGCACAAAAAAGAACAGAAAAAGAAGGCGAATGTACTGTTCCAAGAAAAGAAAAACATTGATTCAATAGAAAGATGTCAAGGAGAAGAAAGAAAGAAGTACAGCAGCAATTGATAAGCTAAAACAGAATCATATTACTTTGATCTTGCAAACCTTGCACATGTTGTGCTTGAAGGGAAAAAAGTGCAATAAATGAAGAAGAAATTCAGAAGAAAGAAGTTGACAAGCTGCAAAAACAAGCAGAACATTGTAAATCTACATTAATTTCATTATTCTTTACCAAAATTCTTAAACAATAAATAAAAGTAGTCTGTGTTTTGTTTGTATCATCTTTCATAATAAACATTATATGACTGTGAATAAAAATACAATCAGTACATGTGATAACAATCAGTATTCATGATCATGTAGGATTATGATAGGCTTAAATTATTTTGTGACAAGTTTGTGATAGGTGTTTTCTATAGTAATAGCCTATAGTTATTTTCATCCAGTTAAAATATGTATTAGTTTACACATTATTTATTATGTGTGGAAATATAATCTAGAAATGGGAAATGGGTGTTAGCCAAATCCCATCTAATTAAAAATTTTTGAATCAATTTTCTCGATGATAGTACTATCTTTTTCTGATATTAAATTTTAAATTAACAGTCTCCATGATAAGGAATTCTTTTTAAAAATTAATAGAAGTGTACAAAAATCAAAATTTTCTTGATTTACTGTGGCTAATTTTCTACTGCTTTTATTCATCTTATGTGATTTTTCTCAATAGTTAGATATTTTTGTTACTTTTTCTGGACCCTAAATATATTTCCAACTTTGATGTATAATGCATTCTACTATTTAAAAAATAGCATATATCATAAATAATTTGAAACAATATCAAGAAACTAAGATTGTATATATAAATTTTTTCTTACAATTAATTTTTTATTGAGTAATATGCAATTAATATTCAATTTTAGTTCTCAAAAATAAAAAAAAGACATTTAAATTAATCATATTTTTTTAATAGAATGAATTTGATGGATTATTTTTTAATTAATATTTTTTAAAATTTAAATCATTATAAGCTTTTTACATAAAGTAGCAGTTTAGTTGATTTTCAAACCCCTTTTAAATACAGTATCCAACAAAAATTACAGTTTCATGTATTTAAATTGACATACCAGAATGAAAATATTATCATCAGTACAACAAAGTTATTAACAATAGAATTAAAAATATTAATGTAAAAATTAAATTATATTTGTGAAATCTTTAACAATGTATGCTTATTTTATTCAAACTGTCCTCAGTATTAATTTAATTACAAATTATCATGTCAGGTTCTACATATAATAGTTTCAATTACATTAATTTCGAATCACACTTTATTTGTTATACTTTGAATTTTATTACAGAATTATATACTTTGAACTTTGTTACAGAAAATGCTGTGTACTGTATATACCTCTTTATTATAATGTTTTTAGTCATTCATGTTCCAATTACTGAGAGGGCTTGCATTTTGTCACAATCATAATGTCCTGCATCGTGATCTCAAACCTCAAAATCTCCTGATAAATAAGGTAATGATGATTTTGTAACAAAATATAAAACTTGTTTTAAATATACACTTAATGTGAATTTTTAAATTTATTTTTTAACTAGAATGGAGAATTGAAATTAGCAGATTTTGGTCTTGCACGAGCTTTTGGTATTCCTGTTCGTTGTTATTCTGCTGAGGTAACATTTCACATAAATAAATGTTAGCATTTATATTATTAGTATTATTAAAATATATGTTTAAATCAGTTAACTTTTATAGGTAGTAACTCTTTGGTATCGCCCACCTGATGTTTTATTTGGAGCAAAACTTTATACAACTTCAATTGATATGTGGTCAGCAGGATGTATATTTGCTGGTTAGTATTAATGAATGTAAGTTTCTAATATATTAATTAAAGGACTGAAATATCAATGTCTATACTTATTAAGAAAATTTAATTTTTCTGATGAATTATTTAGAGAGAGCAAAATTATGACATTGATTTTGTTTTTTTTTTTTTTTTAACATATTCCATTATTAGTCGTAAAAAAAAAATAAGTTGATTTAACTCTTACTTGATCATCATCAGTTTCACAAGTTTTAATATTTTTGGAATTGATAATATATTAAAATGTTAGTAGTGATTTTACATTTATTATTATAAGATATTGCAGCTTTTTATTGAGTTTTTTAACTGTCTAAATAAGATGATAAAGTTTAGCAAAATCTAGCATTAATAATATAATAGTTAACTTTAAAGTTTTAGTATATGATATTTTTATATTTATTTAAAAAGTTATTTTAAAAATTTAACTGTAATATATAACTGTACAAATATATATATATATATATTTGCACATATTATATATATATAATGCTTAATTGAAAATGTAACTGGTGATAAATTTTTATTTGCTTTTTTCTTAAAATTATTTTTTACAAAATTAGAAAATGTTAGAAAAAAATTTTAATTAAGATAAAAGTAATTATAAAATATATAAATTGGATAAATGTAAAAGTTAATTTTTATTTATATTTTCACATAAAGTCACAAATACAGGATGGTTCAGTTAGTGTTTAGTAAGCAATTTTTGAAGTGTAAATATAGTTTTAATTAGATGTGGAAGTCACTCTCCTCCTATTCTTAAATTAATTTCTATATAATTTAATTTCAATGGTTTCTTCTGACTTCTTATGGAGATTTTGAATACAGTATTTATATATTTCAGAATTGGCAAATGCTGGTAGACCACTATTTCCTGGAAGTGATGTTGATGATCAATTAAAAAGAATATTCAAATATCCTTTAACTAAATATTAGTATAACTAATAAATATTTTAATTTAGATATTTTTACTTTTAAATGTAATGTTAATTGTTAAGATGAAATATTTTATAATTGATAAAGTTTTAAAACTAGATTAATTGAATTGTTTATAACTTGATCTGTCTAGTATGAATGTGAAATAATTTATACTCTTTCATTAATAGGTAATGTTTATATCAATTAACATGAATTTAGTATTTCCATTGTAAAGAATTAATATTATTTTGTCTAAGTTACAATATTTTACTACAGAATATTTTCTTTTAATCATAAATTAATGAAACAATAATGAATATGTTCGTTTCTTAAAATTTTATTTTAAAAAATTATGTATATAAATATCTGTTGAATTTACAAGTTCTTAAATTTATCATTCATTGAATGGATTTTAAAAATAACAAGTACAAATTAGTGATGTGCCGGATCGTTAAAAATGTATATCCGCGGATACGGATACGGATCATTCGTGTCTAGATCCGCGGATACGGATACGGATCTCAACTTTCGTACTCAGTCGGCGCCGGTGCGTGTGACCTTGGACCGATAGTTGACGCTTTGCGTTAATAACGCGACGTGTTTTGACTTGCACTGCGCGTGTTTTTGTTTATGGTGTAAAAATGTGCTAAATTAGAATTCACCACAAAGGCAGACAGGATAAAGTAACAAAAGTTAATATAATTTTCCAATTGAGCTTTTTTGCGTCTTTATACAGATTCTATTTCGGGGGATTCCAACTTCACGGTACAAACAGTAGCATGCGAAATTACAGCGATAATAATAGTTCGCTGTATCCAAATCACGTGTACAATACAGATCCCGATCGCGACAATATAACCCGGAACCTTAAAACTAACCTTAAACACTAACTTAACACTAATAACAGAAAAAGGGATAGAATTAAGAAGACAGAAAAAATGATAGATAAGATAGAAATAGAGATATCTGGGGTTTTGTCCCTTTTTTCGGCTTGTTTCTTTATGCATACTGTTGGGTGGGATAACACACGCCCTTCTCTTATAACTGGCCAGTTCTCTTCTTCAATAATTAGGATTTTTTCTTCCACAGTCGTCAATACGACCTTAAAACACGATCTTTTTTCTGAACTATCCGGTCATTGAAAATACGACTCCCAGTATTCTCACCTCGTCCGTACACTCTGCTGTCCAGTTTACGAATGATCTGCTACGTCACTTCTTTTTTTTCTCCGGCTTCTGTTTACACCTTTGCTCCTCAAAGTTCTAGGAACTGCTTATCCCAGCCAAGGGACAGAGAATAGATAAGAAAGTTTTAGAAGAAAATAGAACAATAGAACAAAGGGTAGAAAGAAGAAACGAAACTAAACTAAAATTAATATTTACAAAAATATAGCGTACCGCCACAATAGTTTAGTGCAGTGTTTCCCAACCTTTTTTTGCTATGCCCCACCTAAGCCTTTCTAAAATTCTAGTCTCCCTAACATATACAGCGGCTATACTGTTAACTTAAACTCTGGACAAGTACAAGTCCATTTTCGAATTGCCCTCCTTAGCAATCCAATTGCTCCCTGTGGGGCGTGGGCCCCACGTTGGGAAACACTGGTTTGTGGCTAGTGTGACACGGGATAGCGTAGATTACGTTTGTGTTTTTGGAGAGTGTTGAGTTAAATTAAAATAAAAACAATGCCGACAAAAAAATTTAGTAGTGTAATATGGAAATATTTTACGATAGTAAATGACGAATGTGCTATTGCTACCTATCTTTAAAATTTCATATAAGTAATGAAATTCATTAAGATAAAAGATCCGTTAAAGATCCGCTAAAAAGTAACGGATATGGATACGGATACGGATTTTTTTTTTCCCTCGGATATCCGCGGATATGGATACAGATACGGATACGGATATCCGGCACATCACTAGTACAAATGTATAATTTTCTTATATTGAAATATGTGGCAAAGTTCTACCACTCTCAAACGTATATTACTATTAGTCTTTCAGCTAAGCTTAATGTTTTTAATAATATCATTACAATATTTTATTTATATGTTCTAGATGTAAATCATTACAAATTTATTTCTTTAATTTTGCCACTAATATTATGGTCTCATACATTGCTAGTAAAAGTTCTCTGTGATTATATAGTTCTTATCACTTCTCTCAATTCTTTTTATGCTACTCAAACAACGTTGCTTATTATAATAGTTGATATCATTAATAAATGAGTATGATTATTAGCTTAAATTGAAAGGTAAATGAATTATCTCTCTAATATTAACATACAATAACCTTATATCCTTTTCTAGCAGAATGTTTTTAATTTCACAATACACAATAGCAAATGTTTTTGCCTCTTTCAGGGGCTTATTTCAGACTTACCTTGGGGAAATGAAACCTGATATTCTAATTTCAGAAGAAAAACATTCAAAATTAGAATATCAGGTTGCATTTTGTTTTTTTTTCATGTAGGCCTGAAGCAGGCCCTGAAAGAGAACATTTGCTGTTATGTATTTGAAATTATAAACATTTTCCTGCTTAAAAAATATATAAAGTTATTGCATGTTAATATGTAGAACTTTCAGTTTTAGAAGTATTTCATGATTCTGTTTATTATTATTATTGTTTTAAGTATATAGGTGCATTATTTTACCGACATGAATTATGTCAACAGTATTGTCAAATATATTATTTTAAGATATCTATCAGTCTTTATGATTAATATAACTTTATAAATATTTATTATAATGCAAAAGCACAAATGATATTTAACTTAAATAACTGAATGATTTGATACAGTGAAACAATAATTGAAAACAATTGAATTGTATAAATACAAGTGAAACTTGAGTTGATAAAATATAATTGTTGTCAATTATTGTTCATTTATTGTATTTGTTTAACTTTCTTAATGAAACAATAATGATGTACAGTAAAATGACTATGTATATTTTCCAGTGTAATTGAATTTTTTTCTGTTATTATTATCATTTGGCTTGTTGTTTTGATGAAATGCCCATTTTTAATTCAGCCAAATGTTCTAGGGTTATTTGGTGTGCTATAGAAGGAGATAGAAATTTTAATTCAAATCACTATGTGAATATTTGAGGATACAGTAACAAGTGATCTTGGATCCTTGGAAGTAATAAATGAGTGTTTGTTATACAATTTATTTAATTGTGTAATGAAAAGTATATGATATTATATCAGGCCATGCAACTTACAGACTATATATATGTCATTTTGTTCTCTCTGTGGGAATTAGCTTGAATATATACTAGGTCACAAAAGTATCTGAACACCTATAAGATGTAAGGGTTTCATTTCTCTTATGAAGTAGGATTAAAAAAAAAATAATGACAGATTTGAAATCCTCAGACCTTTCTACCATAGAAAAAAATATTTAAATATGCATAAAACGTTAATCAAAAAGAGAAATATAATTTTTTTTCCAACTTGAAAATTTTCACATCACAATTATCTGGACAGAGGAAATAAATGATAGAAAGTGTCACATCATTTGCATAAAAACGTGTCTCCAACAATTTGCATCAGCAAGTTAGTTAAAGTATTCATTTGATACCTCAGCTATTTTCTTTTCTTGTTGTAAATAATGAAGACAAAAGAGTTAATCAGTCTTGTTAAAGAACTTTTTATTAAGGAATGGCAAAAGGGGAAATCTATACAAAATCTTTGAAACAGTTCCACATTCCAATATCCACAATACAAGACACAATTATGAAATTCAAAACAACAAGCAATGTAGTAAATAAGGCTTAAACTGGATGCCCTGAAATATTTACTCAAGACAGAAATGTGCCATTGTCAGGAAAGTGAAGAAAAATCCACAAATAAGTGCTCCTAAGCTTGCTGCTGAGGCTTCTGAAGAATTTGGAGTATAAATATCTGCAAAAATTGTGAGAAGAATTTTAAGAAATAGTGATTATAAAAGTTGTGTAACTAGAAAAAAAACATTTATTAGTAAAAAAAATCAGCAGAAAAGGTTAGTGTGCAAAAGACTTTTGTACAAAACCAATAACATTTTGGAACTCAGTTTTATGGTCAGACAAATCCAAATTCAATGTTTTTGATTCAGATGGTTTCCTAAAAGTATGGATAAATTCTGGAGAATCTTTAAAAATGAAAAACCTGAATCCTACAGTGAAATGTGGAAGTTCAGTGCTAGTTTGTGGTTTTATGTCTTTCAAATGGTGCTGGAACTTGGGAATTTGTTGATGGAATAATGAATCAACATGTATATAAACAGATTTTAAATGAAAATGTTTAGAAATTGGTAAGAAAATTAAAGTTAGGGTGAGGGTTTGTTTTCCAGCATGACAACAATCCAAAGCATATTTTGAAATTAGTCAAAGAGTTTCGTAATGTTCACTGTATAAAAGTGCTTCCCTGACCTCCACAATCACCTGTCCTCAACTTGATTGAGCATTTATGAGATCACATTGAATGGACCATCAGAACAATCAATAACAAGTAAAACTAATCTTAAAAACATCGTCATCAGAATTTGGAATTTAATGCACAAAAGTATTAAAAAATTTTGGTTGAATCAATTCCTAGTCATTTAGGTGCTGTAATCAGGGCAAAAGGAGGTCTAATTTATTTTTAAAGGTATAAAATTTTGTTTTTAAAGCTTTTTATTAACTCTGTCCATCTGTTCTGGTAAAAAGTTGCAATTAATCTACTTCCCAATTTCTGATATAGTTGAAACTTTGATAAGTTTCAGCTATATCAGAAATTGGGTTTAAGTTATGCACACATGTGTATTGCCAACAACAGTACATTTTTTAATAGTTTGCAAACATTTTTAACAATTAGCAAAAAATTAGCAAATAATTAAAATTTGTAAATAAAATCTGATAACATATGGTGCTACAATACAACACATGACTGTTATTTGCCATCTTACAAGTGGAAACAAATGTAAATATAAAGAATATGCTTATCCTGCCAAATAGCTAAAGAACACTTTTAATCTTTAAGCAAATATTAAAAATATACATAAAAGATATTAGTCTTTACCAGGGCTGTGGAGTTTTGGCGTTTTAGCCGGAGTTGGAGTTGTCAAAAAATCCGCCGATTCCTTTTTAATTACCAACTTGTTATGTATATAAAACAGAAAAGTATTGGAACCATGTCAAATTTGACCCTCCATGTTTTTTTTGCAAATCTACACATTTGGAGACCTCCCAAACTCCTCAAAAAAGTCAATAAAAGGGGAAAAATTGTCTTGTGTGTTGGCGTCTAATTTGTTTAATTTCTTTATTTTCTCAGAATGGGTAAAGTTTAAGAAACAAAATGTGGCACTGTAACTTGCATATAAAGGGACATTAATACTACTAAATTTTGATTATTAATTAAAGGTCGACAGGGTGAAGACATAAAAGGGGTCAAGTGTCATATGTCTTAATGAATATTTTACTCGTTATTAGCGTTCAAAATTTAAAAAAATAAAATAAAACTCGTCTCTACCCTCAAAGTAAGCTTTTTTTTGTCATTTTATAATAGTACAGTAAAACCGTTAAGATGTTCTCGCCTAAGATGTTAGAATGTGTATAGGGACATGATTTAGTTCAACCACTTTGACGCTTAATAACTAACTCCTGTGTTAAACCATCTGACTTCGATTCTGACCACTTTGACCACAGAAATTATTAGGCTTCAAACAGGGTGAACAAAATCATGCACACAGTCTAACATCCACACATATAGAAAAAACCTCAAATCTTTTGCTTAATTAACTCGAAATTTCAAGGTGTTCTGAGTCCAAAAATGTAAAAATTTGGGAGAGGTCATTTTTTTGACCGAGCACTACACTTTGTTATATATCTTCTGTTATATATAACAGCTGGAAAAGTAAAAATTATCGAATACATATTTATATATTACTTAGAGGAGTCTTTTAGCTTTGAAATAAAAAGTTTCTATGTTCTATCTTTTTTAGAACTCTATTTATTGAATCTTTTATTCTGAGGTCACGTGATGACATCAGAATTTCCGGGTCTCTTTCGGTAACAAGTCCGCCCCTGGTCGGAGTCGAATGGTAAGGAAGAGTCGGAGTTGGAGTCAGTAGATTTTTATGCAACTCCACAGCCCTGGTCTTTACTACGTTAACCACCTTATCAGCAATTTTACAGATAGATGCTGTCATGTTCAAGGTATTATTCTATCACTAAAGTAATTGAGAGGACTAATCACTCACTACATCACATTTACATGACTTAAAGCTAAATAAAATAAAGCTGTTTTTTGAATTTAAACCAATCTCACAGATAACACTATCCATAAAATTAAATACTAAATTAAGAAGAATTTTGATAGTTCAGTGTTACATACATATAGTATAAGTAAAAAAAAAAATAGAAAATAAATATATAAAAAACATTTTAAAGTAACACTTTAAATATAATATATTTGAATTTAAAAATAATTTTGTATCATTGATTTCTATAGAAATATTTGTTTAATAGGTACATGAATACATTTTAGCTAAAGTGCTGTTGCTGATTTAAAAAACTTAACCCATTGGGGCTTATGACAGTACTTAAATTGTGTTTGCCATAATAAAATAAATTAACGAGTTTTTTTTATATGTGTATACATGTAAACACACACAAATACATAATTTATTAGCATGTTCTGATAACTATAAAAAAATTTGTATATAAAAATTTGTTGTATAATAATCTGTTATAGCANAATTATATTTGTGAAATCTTTAACAATGTATGCTTATTTTATTCAAACTGTCCTCAGTATTAATTTAATTACAAATTATCATGTCAGGTTCTACATATAATAGTTTCAATTACATTAATTTCGAATCACACTTTATTTGTTATACTTTGAATTTTATTACAGAATTATATACTTTGAACTTTGTTACAGAAAATGCTGTGTACTGTATATACCTCTTTATTATAATGTTTTTAGTCATTCATGTTCCAATTACTGAGAGGGCTTGCATTTTGTCACAATCATAATGTCCTGCATCGTGATCTCAAACCTCAAAATCTCCTGATAAATAAGGTAATGATGATTTTGTAACAAAATATAAAACTTGTTTTAAATATACACTTAATGTGAATTTTTAAATTTATTTTTTAACTAGAATGGAGAATTGAAATTAGCAGATTTTGGTCTTGCACGAGCTTTTGGTATTCCTGTTCGTTGTTATTCTGCTGAGGTAACATTTCACATAAATAAATGTTAGCATTTATATTATTAGTATTATTAAAATATATGTTTAAATCAGTTAACTTTTATAGGTAGTAACTCTTTGGTATCGCCCACCTGATGTTTTATTTGGAGCAAAACTTTATACAACTTCAATTGATATGTGGTCAGCAGGATGTATATTTGCTGGTTAGTATTAATGAATGTAAGTTTCTAATATATTAATTAAAGGACTGAAATATCAATGTCTATACTTATTAAGAAAATTTAATTTTTCTGATGAATTATTTAGAGAGAGCAAAATTATGACATTGATTTTGTTTTTTTTTTTTTTTTAACATATTCCATTATTAGTCGTAAAAAAAAAATAAGTTGATTTAACTCTTACTTGATCATCATCAGTTTCACAAGTTTTAATATTTTTGGAATTGATAATATATTAAAATGTTAGTAGTGATTTTACATTTATTATTATAAGATATTGCAGCTTTTTATTGAGTTTTTTAACTGTCTAAATAAGATGATAAAGTTTAGCAAAATCTAGCATTAATAATATAATAGTTAACTTTAAAGTTTTAGTATATGATATTTTTATATTTATTTAAAAAGTTATTTTAAAAATTTAACTGTAATATATAACTGTACAAATATATATATATATATATTTGCACATATTATATATATATAATGCTTAATTGAAAATGTAACTGGTGATAAATTTTTATTTGCTTTTTTCTTAAAATTATTTTTTACAAAATTAGAAAATGTTAGAAAAAAATTTTAATTAAGATAAAAGTAATTATAAAATATATAAATTGGATAAATGTAAAAGTTAATTTTTATTTATATTTTCACATAAAGTCACAAATACAGGATGGTTCAGTTAGTGTTTAGTAAGCAATTTTTGAAGTGTAAATATAGTTTTAATTAGATGTGGAAGTCACTCTCCTCCTATTCTTAAATTAATTTCTATATAATTTAATTTCAATGGTTTCTTCTGACTTCTTATGGAGATTTTGAATACAGTATTTATATATTTCAGAATTGGCAAATGCTGGTAGACCACTATTTCCTGGAAGTGATGTTGATGATCAATTAAAAAGAATATTCAAATATCCTTTAACTAAATATTAGTATAACTAATAAATATTTTAATTTAGATATTTTTACTTTTAAATGTAATGTTAATTGTTAAGATGAAATATTTTATAATTGATAAAGTTTTAAAACTAGATTAATTGAATTGTTTATAACTTGATCTGTCTAGTATGAATGTGAAATAATTTATACTCTTTCATTAATAGGTAATGTTTATATCAATTAACATGAATTTAGTATTTCCATTGTAAAGAATTAATATTATTTTGTCTAAGTTACAATATTTTACTACAGAATATTTTCTTTTAATCATAAATTAATGAAACAATAATGAATATGTTCGTTTCTTAAAATTTTATTTTAAAAAATTATGTATATAAATATCTGTTGAATTTACAAGTTCTTAAATTTATCATTCATTGAATGGATTTTAAAAATAACAAGTACAAATTAGTGATGTGCCGGATCGTTAAAAATGTATATCTACGGATACGGATCATTCGTGTCTAGATCCGCGGATACGGATACGGATACGGATCTCAACTTTCGTACTCAGTCAGCGCCGGTGCGTGTGACCTTTACGTAAATATATNATTGCATTGCCTGAGAATATTTCAAAAAGTGCTGTGTTATGTGAATCCACGCTATACAAAACAAAGAACTAATGCAGGGATAGCAAAACATATAGTATACATGTCCAAAGTGGCACATAGAGAGAAATCATCTGGCACACAATGTATCATATGATTTCGATTTATCATCTGTCATTTTCAATCATCCCTTTGGCTTATCACTTGATCATCCTTTTTTTCAATTAGTTTTTTGCATTTATTCTAATTAAAACGTATTTGTTTAATTTATTTAGATATTGTTGTTTGAAGTCTAAAACTTTGGCATGTATTACATAGTGTATACAGATAGAGTAATTTAAAAACTCACGCCAAAAGTTGTGTAATCCTTGATAACGAGCACTGAGTTCAGCGTTAATACAATATTTCTTGTATTACAAGTACTTTCAATGAGTATAAATTCATCGTCCTCAAGCGAAAAAGAACAATATAAAGAAAAGAACATGCAGAGTGTTCTAAGGAGAACAGAAATTTTTAAAATTTTAACTCAAACATCCAGTAATATCATTAGTAACGTGCAACAAGCTTTTGAAAATGTTTGAAAATCTTAAATCTATGCAATGGGCAGTGCATGTGTTGAATTGCAACCATGCTAATTGTACGACATTTGGCACATTTTGTTGTTTAAACTCTGATATAAGGCTACTCATATCTCAGGCAAGTTGAGGGTGGGAACGTTGCATGCATCTGTAGTTATTGTGAGAAGTACCTCCCAAATAAATACAATCCTTCTGCTACTGCAGCACTTGAGTAATACTGTTTTGGACCACAATGGGTTGTAGTCTTGTTGTAGAACTTTTTTGGCGAGCTCTGTGGTTTGTCTTCTACAGAGCTCGCCAAGTGATAAAGAACAATATAAAGAAAAGAATATGCAGAGTGTTCGCATTGTATCCACTGATGAGGCTTACTTATGAAGCAAAATGAATTTGGAGTATATCAGTTGTAGAAAAAACGAAATAAAAATACTGCTAATAATGAAAGTTTAGGTTTTTTATCATTTGTTTATCTGTTTAACTTGTCGTGTCTCTTGAAGTTGGAAGAAGTCAGAGTGTATTTTTTTTACTTGTTTTTAAACTAAGAATATCCTTTATTTTTAGTATTTATATATTTAGATATGTTTAAATAAACTTTACTAAATACAAAGATGAATGTATAACAAAAGACAGTTAGTGTTAAAAGTTAAAATTTGAAAGCAATAATAATGACACCTAGTTGTTAGGAAAGCTAAGTACAATTTTTTTTTCTTGTCCATCAGTTTTCATTAAAGTAAACCTGACCAAAGGCATAGAATAATTTGAAAATTTCAATATTCTAAAATCTATTGGCAAGTTTGAGACAACGTGCATACTTACTTGAATTTAAAAAAAAAATCAAATAATGAAGTTTACACTTAAAAGTTGTGAAATTTTGTATGGAGGATTTCCAAAACCATGTTAGAGTGAAACTGGAAATCGTATTGTATGAGGGATATCCCCAATTTTCAAACTTTCAAATTGGATTTCAAATGTCTGGAATGCTGCTAGCAGTGTTCTGGGAGCTTATAAAGAGAGCGTACACACATTGCAGCAAAGTACAAGACAGACTCAAAGAATTAGAGCACGTCAAAAGAGTTAGCTAGGCAATTCGGAGTCAACCAGAATTCAATAAAGGCCATCATTAACAAAATTAGAATAGAAGTTAATGAAATTAATGAATGGGAAAGAATACAAGAATATACCATGATGGAATACATGACACTCCTAAGCAATATTTACAAAGAAATAGGAGCTGCAACAAACAAAAAGATGATTTTTAAAAGGAATCCAACAATATACCAAAGACAAAGAAGACATAGACAGAGCCTTATTGCAGGAATTTATAGAATACCCATACAAGACGAAAGGCAACAAAAAGAGCTTTACTACATCGGAGCCACAGGGAGGTTATTAAAAGAAAGGTTAAAAGAACATAAAAGGAACATACAGAAAGAACAGTCAGTCATTGCACTAGTGATGTATGTTATAGTAGAACTGACAGAGGTAGAAGTGGATTGGGAAAGAGCTAAAATAATAAAAAAGATTCAGGACAGACACCTTAGCCTTTCAACAGTGGAATAGACAGGTATGGTCCTTAGTAGTGGAAAATAAACATGCAAAATTTTTAGAGTATTTTTTCACGTGTTATTTCTCATTACTGTTTCAGAAAAAGATTTTGTAAACAGTTATGTCTAGTAAAGGAAAGTCTTTTTTTTATTGTTGTATAATTCATTCTTCGTGTGAATTTTTTTTCACGGTAGTTTTAGATTAGTTTTTGACGATACCCCTCAAAAGAATTTGACAAGTATATTTGTCCCTCACCACCAGGGCTGTGGAGTTGGAGTCACCGTGGAGTTTTGGCATTTTAGCTGGAGTTGGAGTCGTCAAAAAATCCACCGACTCCGACACCTTTTTCATTACCAACTTGTTATGTATATAAAACAGAAAAGCATTGGAATCATGTCAAATTTGACCCTCCATGTTTTTTTTGCAAATCTACACGTTTGAAGATATCCCGAACTCCTCAAAAAAGTCAATAAAAGAGGAAAAATTGTGTGTGTGTGTATTTTGGCATCTAATTTGTTTAATTTCTTTATTTTCTGTTCTGAGATATTAAACAATATCTCAGAATGGGTAAAGTTTAAGAAACGAAATGTGGCACTGTAGCTTGCGTGTAAAGGGGCATTAACCACTTTGACGCTTAATAACTAACTCCTGTGTTAAACCATCTGACTCCTCTGACCACTTTGACCACAGAAATTATTAGACTTCAAACAGGGTGAACAAAATCATGCCCCCCCCCACATAGTCTAACATCGACACATATAGAAAAAAACCTCAAATCTTTTGCTTAATTAACTCGAAATTTCAAGGTGTTCTGAGTCCAAAAATGTAAAAATTTGGGAGAGGTCATTTTTTTGACCGAGCACTACACTTTGTTATATATCTTCTGTTATATATAACAGCTGGAAAAGTAAAAATTATCGAATACATATTTATATATTACTTAGAGGAGTCTTTTAGCTTTGAAATAAAAAGTTTCTATGTTCTATCTTTTTTAGAACTCTATTTATTGAATCTTTTATTCTGAGGTCACGTGATGACATCAGAATTTCCGGGTCTCTTTCGGTAACAAGTCCGCCCCTGGTCGGAGTCGAATGGTAAGGAAGAGTCGGAGTTGGAGTCAGTAGATTTTTATGCAACTCCACAGCCCTGGTCTTTACTACGTTAACCACCTTATCAGCAATTTTACAGATAGATGCTGTCATGTTCAAGGTATTATTCTATCACTAAAGTAATTGAGAGGACTAATCACTCACTACATCACATTTACATGACTTAAAGCTAAATAAAATAAAGCTGTTTTTTGAATTTAAACCAATCTCACAGATAACACTATCCATAAAATTAAATACTAAATTAAGAAGAATTTTGATAGTTCAGTGTTACATACATATAGTATAAGTAAAAAAAAAAATAGAAAATAAATATATAAAAAACATTTTAAAGTAACACTTTAAATATAATATATTTGAATTTAAAAATAATTTTGTATCATTGATTTCTATAGAAATATTTGTTTAATAGGTACATGAATACATTTTAGCTAAAGTGCTGTTGCTGATTTAAAAAACTTAACCCATTGGGGCTTATGACAGTACTTAAATTGTGTTTGCCATAATAAAATAAATTAACGAGTTTTTTTTATATGTGTATACATGTAAACACACACAAATACATAATTTATTAGCATGTTCTGATAACTATAAAAAAATTTGTATATAAAAATTTGTTGTATAATAATCTGTTATAGCAATGAAGATACAGAAATTGATATTTTTGTATCAAATTATGTGATTTCATATAACAACTTTATTCTTAAAATAAAAATATTAAATATATTTTATCTTTACAGATCTATCAGCAGTGTATGACTAAAGCTATACTGTTTATCAGGCAGATATTTTAAATATTTACTTTCAAGTTTTTTATTCTAAATTATATACTTATATAACTGAACTACAACGGAAGTGGCCAAACTTCCTTAATTTAAGAGTCACATGATAAATTTCAGATGTTTGAGAGTCATAAGACATAAATAAATATTACTTACATATTTTTATTGCTATATACATATTTTGTTACAAAAATTTTATATAAATATTAACACCTATTTATGTATGTAATGTTATTTATTCATATCTATAGTTTTTAAACTGCTAACTTATATTAGTTTCAAAAATTGCAAAAATCAAAAATTCACACATTATAACCAATATTTTCAAAATCCTTATTGATTATTGTTTTATCTATATTGAGAATATTTAATACAGTACTGAACAATGAAAACATACAAATTTGCATTTTATT